TCTGTCTGTCTGTCTGTCTGTCTGTCTATCTGTCTGTCTGTCTATCTGCCTGTCTGTCTGTCTATCTATCTATCTATCTATCTATCTAGCGTATGCGTCTTGTGACTCATGTGTAAAGTATGCCCCGTAAGCCCCGCCCCTACTGCGCTGACGCAAGAGACGGGACTCCCTTGCCAACTCGCCATGACACTAGCAATCAGCATACAGTGGAGTCCGTCAAACAAGCCATCTGCATTATCATAACTAACGTGAGAGTTTCCATTAAAATGAGACGTATGTTTGTGTCACAAGCGCAAACTGTGAAGCGCTTTTTACTCGCCGAGCCGTCCAATGACAAATAACGATACAAGTCTGCAAGTTGAACTGTCCAATGAAATGTGAGGATGCGTGTCTGATGGGCCAATCAGAATTCGTTTTACTCGTGCGTCTCCACTCCTAGCATTTACTTGACCGACTAACTCTGCAGCAACATATTTACTGTAAAACATCAGCTTTAAAGATGTTTCTGTGGATCTGCCGCATTGGGGAGAACACAAACATGGCCTTTTCTTTCATCTAGCGTCAGGTGAGCGAGCGATATTAGCGCTTTGTCCTTTAATCCGGCAGTGTTTGAGTACATAGTTCAGCCCAGTATGGTTCATAAATATGATGATGTGTCAGTCACTCAACAGTACATACTTCATTACAGATTTAACTTATTATTAAGTGATATACACGATCGGTTCGCGCTATAACGAGTCGAGTATTTCCTCTGGATATTACAGCTTGAGTGTAGCTTGATTGTCAGTGTTATATGTCCCTGACTGACATTACATTCAGTGAGAGAGAGGTTTGGTTTGCAGCCTCCAGATGTAAACAAACGCTTTCAACTAACTTATTTGCTCGATTAGTTGAGCATTATTCATTTAAAGTTTTGAATTTTAGATGTAGGCTCACAAAATGATCATTCAAATCCAGAAACTGATGCAGTAAGACTGAAGGCTGAAGCCAAATTTAGCTGATGGTGGAAGTATTGGGAAGGTGTCAAACTACAAGTGCAGCACTTCATAATGTTTCTTCAACTATGTGAACTTTTTGTCATTAAGTAACATATTTCACCTTTTTTGGATTGTTTTGTGAAGGTAACATTTTGGAAAAGGAAAAGTTTGCATCATTCAGTCATCTTAAACTGATGCATTTTTTGATATTTATTTTATTGTTTGACCCGACCTAATCTTAAGATATGACCATCCATTTAATATATATATATATATATTTAAAATATTAGATAACTATGATAATAGATTGAACAAAATTAGTAGACAAACTACAGAGTTTTTTTTAATTAATTTTTTTTATTTCAAGAAGTCTACAAAGTGTCCATGATTAAAGAAACATCCAATTACGTTATTGATGATTTTGCATAATTCAATTCGAACTAATCTGAGTGCTTCATTTGGTTTATTATTCATTTTCAGCCTAGTCTAGTCATGAATAAAGGCACAACAGAAGCACTTTGTTTGATCGGGTAAATTCTGCAATTTAATTGCCATTTTGATGGGAATGTTGTTTAGTGAAGTTGATATTAATGCGCCGTGCTTTCTTTCCAGGCACCTTTTGCAATTATGGAGGCTTAAGTGGTGGAGCGTTTTGGGGGGAAGGAGCCTTTCCCCTCAAAGTTGATGGACTCTTGAATGGACAGTACAGGATTTGCCTTGTGCAAAATGCGATAGACAGATTACAATCTAACTTATTTTTGAGAAAACTGGAATATATTTGTATATATGTTTTTGTACAGAAAAATTCTTATTTTCTTTGATGCCGATGATTGTGCCAAAGGTTTTGTTGAATGTGTTGCTGACATGGTGGATTGAGATGAGCTAGATCTTCACTCTTGGGGCCGCTAGGGTGCCGTGGAACCTCAACACATGCACAAGTCTAGCGCCCCGATTTCCCACTTGAACATATTCCCACTTTTTTGTGTTGTTTTCCTTAATTTATTGCAGTAATTTGAGAAATGAATTCTATGTTAGTCTAAGAAATTTAAGCACAAACTTGTGGGTGTAGAGGGTGTTTTGGGCTTTTTGGGGTTGTAACTTAGCGGGTGGGAAACTAAAATGAGTCTGGGAAGCCCAGACTGCACACCTAAATGCCGCTCCGTGAGGCATGCAGAGGAAGTGATTGCCGCTTTGACCAGCGGCTCGGAGGGCAGTCTGCAGGGCTTTCTGTCTGTCCACTGTCACAATGCAGCTACCCTGCGGGACGAGTTTGGACGCACGGCTCTGCACCTCGTGGCCTCTCTGGGAAAGTGTGATCTGCTTCAGTGGCTCCTGGACAGCAAACATGCTGACATGCTGGCAAAGGACAAGGAGTCTGGGTGGACCGCACTGCATCGCAGCGCCTTCTATGGACAAATTCACTGCCTCATGGGGCTCATCAAGGTGAGACTAATGTGAGTTTTTCATTGACCAATGCCAATATAATGTTTAGAGAGAAGGGTGCCTGATGGCCAGTGATGTACACCACTGGCCAAAAGTTTGGAAGAATTAAGATTTTTTTTGGAAGAAGTCTCTTCTGCTCACCAAGGCTGGATTTATTTGA